GTTTTCGCATGTAGATCTTCAAGTTTATGTGACATCAGACACAAGTCATCGGCGAAATCCAGATCTTCTAGGTTCTTTTCAGCAGTCCATTGTATCCCCCTCTTCTCGCTCCCCACTGTTTGCTGCATTATCCAGTCCAGTTGACCACGATCAGGAATATCATGGGGGATAGTAGGCAGCAGCCTTGTTTCACTCCTGTCTTCACTTCACTTCAAAAGCATTACTGAGCTTCCCATTGTGAATTACTTGGCATGTGGCATCTTCATTTAGTTGTTGAATGAGATTGATAAAGGTTTGTGGTATTCCGTAGCATTCAAGCAGTCTCAAGTTACTTCTCGGTCGACGCTGTCAAAGGCCTTCTCAAAGTCGATGAAGTTGAGGTAGAGAGTTGACTGCCATTCTATGCTCTGTTCTATGATGATGCGAAGCGTTGCAATTTCGTCGGCACATGATTTGTACTTCCTGAACCTGCTTGTTCTGGTTGTTCACTTGTTGACCTGGCAGCATAATCTCTACTAAACCGTGTTAGAACACTATGATAACAAATGCATCATAACAATGAAACCATCATAAACACTATACACTTTTCACTTCAAAATAAACCGTATTTCACTGTCGTAAAAAAACCACTTTCAATTAAAATATTAACCATAGAACTACCTCATAAGGTGCATGTAAATAAAATGACAATTTAAGTCAATCATCGACACGACACAATCTCCTTGGTTTCAGTGCATGCAGACATTCATGAACACAAATTTAACTGCAAACCGTGGAAATCCTGTAAAGAGCGGATTCTAAAGCTGCAAGAGAATTTCTAGGAGCATGACATTCAGACGAAATGCCAGTCAACATATATGTACATGTAGACCAAATTTATAATCTATTTACGACTGAAACAGTCACCCATTAACCAAGAGCAAATTGACCGAACAAATCAGTAATGATGCATAGTGTGACAACAAAAAACAGAACAATTTCACTCTAACAAAGGATATTCAATGGTAGGATTGAAAAAAATTCAAGGTCCAAGAAGTCAGGTTGTCATAATGAACTTCTTCCACAAATTATGAATGGATAACATCCAAGGTCAATAAAAACACTATCCAAACATTTGTGTAATATTCTAATATGCGTCCCTTCTTGATGTAGTTAGTGCTGATGATAGTGACTAAACCTAGTGGTGAAACCTTCAGAACGAAATATCAAAGCTCAGAGGTCACTAAACCGTCATCATCCTCATCTTGAACCACCAGTCTTTATCATCATCTGAAAATGATACTATTTTTATTTTGCTGTGAAATCATTATATAATTCATTTAGTTAATCGTTAAAACTTGTCTGTTATCTTTATTTTCATCTTAGTTTTATATCGCTTGCCAACTTGTTCTGTTTAGTGGACAGATATATTACTAGTAGTGATTCACTTTTTAGCCGTTGTACCCAAGATGACATTAATCCATATAAATTATCAATCAACTTTCACCCTTTCCTTTCAATGCTTTTACTTGTGTACTTGACAAAGATGAAAAACCATTATGTTATTAAGCCCTATTCGTTGTCGTGGATATATATATATATATATATATCACCCTGCATTTCATTATGGTATAAATAACCAATTATGAAGAGTAATCAGACGAGGGATTCTGCCAAATTCTATGAATTCATTCATTAAACTTGTTTCGGTAAGGAAATTTTTTCAAATATGAATGTCTTTTTGATATATGAATATTTATTGTGGTTATTTATTGTCGATTTTGTGTTTTAACTGTTTTTTTTTAATTTTACATCCAATTTTTCTGTTAAAAATTGTAATGGCTATCAATTCACTTGAAACGCATCTTAACCAAGGCAGCCTTGATAGTTTCTTTCATACTGTTACTTTTGTGATTCAGAATAAAACGTAGCAAAATTTTTTATTCTATTTTTATCCATATTTATAAGTTCATCAACCTACCTGGGATAACAGAATTCGGGGAAAATTTTATCGCCTTCGGCATCCTCCTGGTGTTAACAAAAATAGCCTTTGTTCTCATTCCCGTCAATCAAAAATAATAACAGAATTCAACCATGATATTGCGATATAAATGCAATCGGTAACTTAGTCGTCTCAGGAATAAACAAATCTGGAATCCTATTAATATATGACTGGAGCTTGAACTGTAAAAATACTTACAGTCGCAACAAATGTTTGTCTTATTTATCTTATTGAAACATGCTACTGATAAAAATTGGCAATTCTGAATTTTGCACAATAACTCAGAATCTGAAATAAAACAAGGTCATGAAGACTGGTTGAAAATAATATCAATATTCAATAGTCTTGGAAGTATCCGTCGATTTGGCGCCAATTTCTTCACAGAAATAATGATCAATTAAAACAAACAACCAAACATCGTGACAACGGAATTGAACTGAAAAGGTGCCAGTAGCAAAATCAGACAATTCTTAAAGTCATTAAACCGTTACCCATCATCTACCACAATCTGTCATTATTTAGAATTCGTTTCACTCCCTTGATAAATCTTTTTTTTAAAGTCTTGCAAGATTTAATCACGTCTTAGCAACTTCTGAGGCAATTAAGTTAGTCTGGTAACGAATGTGAGGCGATCGTATTCAGTAAGTTTGTAACGTGGAATGAAAACGATCGGCATCTTTTAACTGATAAATTCTGAAATTTAAAAGTGTACATCATTACCAATAGTTGAAACAGATTTTCATGTGGTTGTATTAAATCTCGAAAGATTTCGAAGAAATATATATAAGTATAAAGGAGCCTGCAATTACTATTCAGTACAAGAGAAAAAATATCATGAATTTTTCACTTGCTCGAAGCTCAACTCTGTCAGGCAGTTTTGCATCCTATTGTTATAAATTGTATACATACATTTTCCCTAAACCTCCACTCAAGAGTAGCAAAGCCCTTTCGCTATGCATAGTGAATCGATGCTGTCTGATAAAACCAAATTCATAATTAATAATGAGAGCATTCAGCATAGCATTTTCCTATATTCCAGATAATCTTTCTGGAAATGCTTCCATTACACAATGGAAATATAGTTCGCTTTTTTCCACGACCTAATAGATGGGCATATCCAATACCATTAGGCTGATATTTCAACTGAAGCAATTTTACCATCAGCCGTCTCTAACATGGATGTTCAAAGACTTAAGCTCAGAAATGGTAATAAACACCCTTCTTCTGTAGTGATACAAGTTTGCAACAACTAGTAGTTGTAGTTAAACCAATACTTTCTAAAAGTACAGTCGTTTCTTTCCCCCTGCAAGAGTTTACGAATTATGCCTCATTTAAAAATTGTGTCTGACAACTCTACTTCATTGATAATTGTACTTTGTTTTTAAGAGAAAATATGAATGACCAAGTGACCATCTATTCACTTTGACTTTTCAATGACTTTATTTTTTAAATTGGAATTCAAAACCTTCGCTCATTTTTCGGTGAACATAGTTTAATCGGCAAACAATATATGCTAACTGAACAATCCATTTGTACTCTAAACAGTAATAAATCAACCCTATTCGATACTTTGGTTTTATTTTAGTCAATATATTATTTTGGCATCATGTGAATAAGTGACACGCAAACCCTCAGGTTTCCATCATACTAATCATGTTAATTTACTATAGAATCTTTCGCAACTGTCTATGAGGATTTCAGTTACATCATAACTGATACTGAAATCAAATAAATGAAAGTAGAGCATCTTGAACAACTATTCATGAAAAATGTATATTGTATTCTTTGAAGGTGCTCAGCATCTGCATTTTTATGCGAAGTGAAATTTCGAACAGTTGACATTGATAAAAAGACAGAAATATCTAGCTAACGAGCTTTTATCTGTAGCTATTTCTCTGTATGCCGAAGAGGTTGTGGAAGTATCTGTACTTTGAGAAGCATATATATATATATATATATATATATATATATATATATATATATATATATATATATATATATATATATATATAAGTAGTATACATCATGGACTGACATCAGTTGGTGAGCCATTGAAAACCTGCTGGCACTAGACAGCTGTTTCGTCCTATTATGGGACTCCTCAGCAGTACGCACCAATGACCCGGCTAGGGATCGAACTCAGGACCTTCATGTTTTGCGGCGAAAGCGTTAACCACTCGGTCACTGGGTCGGTTCCCAATATCTATTTATTTCTCAGTATGCAGAAGTAGTTCTGGAAGTGTTTGTACTTTTAGAAGCATATATACATATACATATATATGGTCAGCAGATAGTAGTAAATAACTAGCATCATTAGCCTTAATTTCCGTTCAACAACTACTGGAATAATAACAATTATCAGTAACTTTAATGCATAAGTAAAAATATTGGTACTGTGCTAGTGTATAATTACATGCTAGTTTGTTTATTTGATATTTCACACAATGAAACAGTATTATTAAATGGATGATGTTTCCAATGGGATTTGTTTTTCATATTCATACTCTGTTCAAAACCTCATCCAACAAATAATGTTGTTTCACTGTGGGAAATATCAAACGAACTGTGTAATATGGAAGAAACAGTAAATATATTCTTAAAAAATGTTCTCTTTGTTTATATCCCAACATAGGATCAATGAAGCGATTTGTCAATATGGGCTAATTCATACAGTCATAGTCCTAATTTCTGTTTAGCATATGAAGAGTACATCTGAGTGATCAACTTACAAGATTATCTACTTGTAGTAGTTGTTGATATTGTAGTTATCATCCAAATATTTTGCATAAGTCATTCTTTTTAATTAAATTACTATCCTATTTAAAGTTTTAACCTCGCCTGGTTAACTAGTTTACTAGTTACTAGCCGGTCCTAAGCCCGGGTAAAGAGGGAAGGTTGGGCATAGGGCTAGCAACCCTACCCCGTAAAACAAATCTAACCGCTAAAGAAACTTCAAAGCACAAACAAAATATAAAAAATGAAAACAAACTTATTCCCCGCTGGAATCGGAGAGGCGAAATGACGCCAGTTGGTGAAAGCCTTCGGGAAGCCAATTGGCCGATGTGTCTTCTCTCGATGAAAGCGAAAGTAAACGTGGGGACATGGAATGTCCGCACGATGTTTGAACCCAGTAAGGCAGCCACGATTGCAAAGGAGATGAGAAGGTATAACATCGAAGTGCTTGGGATCTGCGAAAGCAGATGGAATGGGAGTGGACTCTCCAAACTGTCAACTGGAGAATCAATAATCTACTCCGGTCACCCAGACGCCAACCACGAGCACACTGAGTATTGGAGTGGCTATCATGATGTCCTCAAGAGCATCGAAGGCTCTCATGCAGTGGGAACCAATCTCCTCCAGGATCATGACAGCAAGATTCAACTCAAAAGGAAGAAAGGTCACAATCATACAATGTTATGCACCTACAAATAATGCAGAGCAAGAGAAAAAGGAGGATTTCTACAGACAACTTCAATCAACACTGGACAAGACGTCAGTTGGCGATATCAAAATTCTGATGGGCGACATGAATGCCAAACTGGGAGGGGACAACACGGGAAGAGAACTAACCATGGGTCGAGAGGCACTAGGTGAAATGAATGAGAATGGAGAATTGTTTGCAGAATTCTGCGCATTCAACGATTTGGTGATTGGAGGCAGTGTGTTCAGGCACAAAGATATCCACAAAGCGACATGGATTTCACCAGATGGACACACTAAAAATCAAATCGACTTTATCTCAATCTCAAGAAAATGGAGACGCAGTCTACTTAACACAAGGTCAAGAAGAGGAGCAGATGTAGGTTCAGACCACTACCTAGTGCAAGGAACCTTCCAAATCAAGTTAAAAGCCTTCAAGGAAGCTGGTGATAGACCTCAACCCAAGTACAACACTCGGAAACTGAAGGATGAAACTACAAAGGAGATCTTCAAGGCAGCCATCAAGACAAAATGGGAGACGTCGAGGGACATCCCTGAAGAAACCTGTGTAGAAGAACATTGGAAGTCTTTGAAAGCTATGTGGAAAGAAACCTGCACAACAGTATTAGGAAGGAAGAAGAAAGAAGACAAGGAATGGATCTCGACGGATACCTGGAAGCTGATAGAGGAGAGGAGGATGGTGAAGCAGAAGATAAACCAGTGCAAGGATGCTCAACGACAAGAGGAACTGAGCACAATGTATAAAACACTGGACAAAGAAGTGAAGAAGAGTGCACGCAACGACAAAAGACACTTCTACGAAACACTGGCAAGTGAAGCAGAACAGGCTGCAGGTAAGAGAGACCTGACGACATTGTATCAAATAACCAGGTTACTATCAGGGAAGAGACCAACACAGATGAAACCAATAAAAGATGAAGAAGGAAATTTAATTACAAAAGAAGAGAAACAGAGGAAACGATGGGCCGACCACTTCAAGAAGCTCTTGAATCGACCACCACCTGCACTTCGTCCAGAAATACCACCTGCAGCCGCTGAACTACAAGTGAACATTAATCCCCCAACGAAAATGGAAGTCCTGAACGCCATAAAGCTACTGAAATGCGGGAAAGCAGCAGGACCAGATGGAATACCGCCAGAAGCACTGAGAACAGATGCAGAGACAACAGCGGCCATGCTCACACCACTATTGCAGAAGGTGTGGAAGGAAGAGAAGGTACCTGACGATTGGAAGAAGGGTTACCTTGTCAAACTGCCGAAGAAGGGAGACCTCAGTGCTTGCAAGAACTGGCGCGGAATCACTCTCCTGTCCACCCCAAGTAAAATATTAAGCCGCATCATCCTGGAGAGGCTAAGGGATGCACTGGATTCAAAACTACGACCGGAACAGGCAGGCTTCAGGAAGTACAAATCATGTGCAGACCAAATTGCAACGCTTCGCATCATCATAGAACAGAGCATAGAATGGCAATCACCTCTCCACCTCAACTTCATCGACTTTGAGAAGGCCTTTGACAGCGTCGACCGAGAAGTAATTTGGAAACTGCTTCAATACTACGGAGTACCGCAAACCTTTATCCGCCTCATTCAACAACTATATGAAGATGCCACATGCCAAGTAATCCACAATGGGAAGCTCAGTGATGCCTTTGAAGTGAAGACAGGAGTGAAACAAGGTTGCTTACTATCCCCCATGATATTCTTGATTGTGGTGGACTGGATCATGCAGCAAACAGTAGGCAGCGAGAAGAGGGGGATACACTGGACGACGGAAAAGAACCTAGAAGACTTGGATTTCGCCGATGACTTATGCCTAATGTCACATAAACTTGAAGATCTGCAGGCAAAAACTAACAAGTTGATAGAAGAGGCAGCTAAGACGGGACTTCAGGTGAATATAGAGAAGACAGAAGTGATGAAGATACCGCACCACCACCATCAACAACAACAACAACAAACTCCAATCACCGTCAACGGGAGAAACTTGAAGGAAGTAACCTCCTTCACTTATCTAGGAAGCACTGTTTCAACTACAGGCGGGACGGACGAGGACGTCAAAGTCAGAATCGGAAAAGCAAGACAGGCCTTCATTAGCCTGAAACCAGTGTGGAGATCTTCTGCACTCAGCATCTGGAACAAGATACGGATTTTCAACACCAACGTCAAGTCAGTGCTCTTGTATGGCTCAGAGACTTGGCGCGTCACGAAAGGTAATTCCAATAAACTACAGACATTCATCAACAACTGCTTACGCTCGCTGCTGAAGATCAGATGGCCAGAAAAAATAAGCAACAAGGAACTCTGGGAACGAACCAACCAAGAACCTATCACGCAACAAATATGCAGGAAGAAGTGGAGATGGATTGGCCATGCACTGAGAAGGCCGACTGAGGACATCACGCGTCAGGCCCTCGAGTGGAATCCCCATGGGAAGCGACGAGTTGGACGTCCGAGGGTGACATGGAGGAGGTCGTGCGAGGAGGAAATGAGAGGCTGTGGGCTGTCGTGGGACCAGGTTCAAAAGATCTCAGAGAACAGGATGAAATGGAGACGTGCTACTGAAGCCCTATGTTCCACTAGGAACCCAAGGGACTAATAATAATAATAATAATTTAAAGTTTTATATTGTCTAAACCGAGATATTTGTCTCAAATGAACCCAGTTTTCAGAGTTATATCTTTCAGGTTCGATACAGCATAACAGGAATGAAATTATTTGCTAAATAATTGAATCTTTACACCAGAAATATTGACAAAAATTCCATTTTTAATTACACAGTGAGTAAATTAGGAATTTAATGTTAATTAGGTAGTTATCTAACAGCTTCACGCGCAAGACTATATTATGTTTTCTTGCTTATATCAGACGTTTTAATTTAATGACCTTGGAGTCGTTTTTGCCAATATTAGGTTAACAGACAATTTGGTCTTTCAAACAAGTTATATTTAAGATTTTCACTTTAAATTTGAAAAAGAAAAAAACCTCTTTCATCAACTTTGAGGAAATAAATCCAATTCTCACTGTTTTAGCTAACATACGATGGCAAAATATGCGTAGTAAGCTGAAGGCGAATTTGTAGGCTAAAGTGGGAAGACCAGTTACCGAACACCTCATATCCGCTTCAATAAACACCAAATGATAAAATTTAACACCTTCATCCAGTAATTGGCACCAATTCAAACCGAGGTCATAGCAACGAGTTATTTTAAAGGCAATCCCAATCATTGCTGAAATAACTAATCAAGTTCCTCTACTTTATGAAAAACTGTCTTTCCAGATGAAATGGTGAAACTTCATTCGCTATTTCAGCGATTGCTAGGCTTGCTTTCAAGGTCGCTCATGATAGCATATTTAAATAAGTCAGGAGACAAGAACACTTCCCAAGTACTACCATATCTTTCCAAGGTTCACCTTTTGTTTTCATCGGTAAATTTACTTCAGTATCAATAGGGTAAACTTACCGGTAACAGCTTCAGGGTTTAAATTTCAAGTCAGACTCATTAAAGGTAAAGAAAGGACTCTTTTTAATGCATACATCGTAATCCAAAAAAATTTACTGTAAGTTTTTTAAAAACATTCTGCCAGAATAAACTGCATTGTATAGAGAACATAAAAAGGTTCTTTAGAGATTCATTTTGATGGCAAAGGTTTTTCGACTTGAGAATACAGAAAAAAATATGATTCCGATATTTTTTTAAGTACGTGCCAAAGGAAACACTTATATTAACTTATAACTACAACAGCTGAACACTGTGAACGGGAAACTATCGGAAGAGAATTATCGCTCGCTGGACTTGATTGATTAACATGTTTATTCATTATGAAAACCTTTAAATATCCCAGATTATTTACTTTTTTGAATCATAATTTCATGCTTTTAGTCTCTTAAACTAGTTTCATTCTTTCTTAGCTACATTTCTCCGTCCCTACGAGAGTAACGTCGATTAAACAACTGAAGTGAAATAAGCCCCATCCGTTTGTCTAACACATATATAGGATACTAATATTAAACTCTGTCAATATATCTATAAAAGAATGTTTTAGAAACGAAGGCTTTAATCCGATGAAACGCATTATTAGGAAGAGGTCAACTGAATTCAAAGCATCTAGTTCTCGAAATGACACCGGATGATAGAAGTACTGAATCTCGAAATAACAAAAGTTTGGAAAACTAATTCACTGAAATCTAATCAAGTGACTGAATTGTAACATGCACAACTTTAGACTTGACAACTATTAACAAGATCAAATACTAAGCTTCCAGCATGCATTACTCATTGATTACAAAGGAGGGTCAAAAGCACACATGTTTTTCTGTTTTATCTTCTTGATACCACATAATGATTAACATTGCCTTGAAACTGGTTATTTCTCTAAAACCTACCAGTCAGTCCTTACCAACACCATATGTGCTATTAACACTTAACAACTAAGTTTTGCTGCATTTCACAACAGTTAAGAGTAAAGCTTAAGATAGTACTCAAAAAATACAGTAAATGGTTCTTGGTACATTTTAACGAAGTTTTCATGGGATACTTTCATATGAATTACACGCAGTTATACTATCATAAAGTTAATAATTAGATAAACTTGTTATCCTGAAATAGTTTTTTATGCCTTCCGTAAACATCATGTTACATTAACTATAAAGTTCATTATACTTGTGAAACAGACTACCTGTTAATTGGTTATTCATTATTATTATTATGGTTGACTTGTCGGTAAATTCTATGTTTTTCAGGATTTCTCAGACTTATATAACGTATCCAATCAGCGTGGAGCAAGAATTATACATTATTAATGTTAAGTTTTTGATAACCCTTTCATCCATTTTCTTTAATACGTATACATTCATTCATTCCTAAGAGGAATATGAAAGCGTTCAGTTTTTCCTATAAAGATTGTTGACCTTGATTTCTAAATGCTGATTGGTTCTTACTAGATGAATAGAAATAAATAGGTCAATTTGATGAACATAAACCTATAACTGAATTTCATGATAGTTATCTTGATTTGCCATCAATAAATTTCGCCACTGAAGAGAAAATGGTTAATTGGCATAACAGGCTGTGAGTAGTATTATCC